GGACTCGCCCCCGCGGCCGCTGTGCCCACCTCGGGGCGCCGGGGCCGCGCGGCCTGCGCGGCGGTTGGACGGCCGCGACCGTTGGGAGGAGGTCCAACCGCCGTCCCCGCGGGGCCGCGTCGCCCCCGCCCCCGCCCCCGCGGCCGGTCCTCCCGGCTCCCCGAGCTCGCCCCGCGGGGACATTCGGGGCTGCTCCTCAGGACATTCGGGGATCCCTCAGGAAGCGCGGCCGGGCCTCCGCGTTCCTGGGACAAGTTTGACAACGGAGACGGACCGCGTGCCGGGAAACATCGGGCCTGCTAGTGTGGGGGCGACGGGGGGAAGGGGCGCCCCCCGCGAGGCGGGCCGGGGCCCGCTGGCTGGGGGGCCCGGGCGGGCGAGGTCACGGCGAAGGGTCCGCGCGCTTCGGCCGGGAGTCGGGCCGGGAGCGGATCGCGACGACACGCGTGGAGCGGCCCTCGCGTGGGGTGCGGCGCCCGAGACCGGGGTGGAGCGCCGCCGTGCCCGCGCATCCTGAGCCTTTTGTAGGCTCTTTTCCCCAAAGGGCGATGCGCTCCGGCCAGGCGCGGCCGCCCGCGTGTTCTCGGCCGAGGTGTGGACGGCGAGCTCCGCGGACGGGTGCGCAGCCCGGCCTCCCCCGTCCTGCGCGCCGGCGACGCGGCGGCCACCATTTTGTGGGGAGGCCGCGCACCCCGGGCCGAGGCAGGGTGGCGCTGCCCGGAGCCGCCTTTGTTCCGCACGCTCGTGTCGCGTGGGCCGCGTGGGGAGCGCCGGCCGGCGACACGGCCGCGAGCGTCGCTCCAGAAGTTGTGCCTCGCGCGGAAGGTCTTCCTGGAACAAAGGCCTCGCAGGAGCCGCGCGCGCTTTGTGTTCGAGGCCGTGTGGTGGTGGGACGCTCGCCGTGAACAAGTGGCTTCGTGCAGCTGCAACAAAGCAACAGAATCACGGCATGAAACCGTCCCCTGTAACGCCCGCGTTTCCGGAGGACTTTCGCTCGCTGTTTTTGGAATGCAATGGGCTGTGTTCGCACGGGGGCTGGGTCTGTGGGTATTTTGCTGTTAGGAGGTGAGGGTAAGAATTATAAAGCATCTCCATTTCCTTTTGTTCTTTGTATCTGATTAGTGGTACTTATAGCTGCTTTCTCAATGAGGGCCCTAGTTAGGCTTTACCTTTGAAAACGGGGGGGGGGTCCACAGATATTTGAAAATATAGTAAGATAAATGTGATAAAGAAGACTATTCAAATCCTGAGTTAAAAGTTTAAAGAGGAAAATAAACTTGTTTCAAGTTACATCAAGTTCAAGTATGTAGGATAACCAGGCTTGTTTTCTGGGCTTTTTTTTCTTGTAATTTTCAGTTAATCTGACTTCTGGTTTTGTTACCTTTAAAATACAAATTTTCATTTCCTCCTTGATGTACTTAAATATGTCTTTTTAAGGACAAATTATATTTTCCATGTCACTTTGCGGTATTTGGAGATGATTAATTTTAGGGGTATAACTAACTATTAGGGAGAAAAGAGTTGGCTGCTTTGTAAATACTTTCTTGAGCCTCCAAGTTTAATTGGAATATATTTGATGACTTGAACACCTTTCTTTGTTGCCCTAAAACATCTAACATTTGGCCATAGGTAGGCAGATTCCACAAATTTCCTCTTCGGCAGTGTCCGAAAGTCAGGTATTTAAATCAAACCCCATATGACACATTTTTTCAACTTTAACTCCTGTGGCCATTAGTTTGATCCCTTCCTGTAAAACTTCTAAGTGTGTCAATACAATTGGCATCTTGGAGTGAGCCTATTGGTTCCAGCCTTAGGAACAGGTGAGAACCTAATCCTTTCTTTGTATAATAGAGGTGTTCGTGATATGGAGCTCTTTTACTCTTTCCAGCCCATCATTCTCCCTAATTTTAGGTTTGGTTGACGTTGGCCTAACCTCTGTTTTCCCAGTTTCCTTGATGTCTGTCATGAAACTTTTCTCTAGTTGTGATACTTTGGCCACCTTAAACCCTTAACATTTGGAGAAAAGGCTTATCCTTGAGCAAAGGAAGAATTTATGATTCCTTTTAAAAATAACAGCTTTATTGAGCTGTAATTCATATACCGTCCAATTCATCAGTTTAAAGTGTGCAATTCATTAGTTTTTGGTATTTTCACAGAGTTGTATAAGCATCACCAAAGTCAGTGTTAGAACATTTTCATCACCCACAAAAGAAACCCCACATGCTCTTGTACTTTTTAAGACAAATTTAGGGCTACTCAGAGGAAAAACTTTTTTTTCCACTTGGTAGGAGGCTCAGTTAAGTCCTACAGTTCTAGTTGAGTCTGCCTTAAACAAAGCAAAATCTGACTTCATTTGTTGTAGTCTTTGTATGGGTGTTTAGTTAAACTTGACTTTGTCAGTGGTAAATTGGTCACCTTGGGAGCCACTAACATATCCATCTAGTTGTATACTTAGTAAACTAATGAACACAGTTAGTAGACTTTTAGACTAGAATGTGAGTGGTATTACACATAAATGAGGCAGCTAGAGATTCATGTCCCACCCTTACTGGAAAAATTTCCCTCCCTGGGATTGTAGTATTTGTTTTCAAACATGCAATCTAAACCTTTTTAAAGAATAAAATGAAGACAGAATTGCCTTTGAAAAGTGTTAATAAATGTTTTGTATTAAAGCTGGGGTTTGGGTTATTGTGTTATTGAGAGACACTGATAAGAGAAAGTTATTAACCCCCAATTTCATTCTTTGTCTCTGAGGTACTTAATTTTATGATGTGTTGGCCTATACGCAGTGTTTTTGGTTGATAGATTAGGAGTAAAATTATTTGTTTAATTTAGGGACAATAACAAAGTCCAGGATGTTTAGAAAACTTCAATATAGGCAGACAAAAATCTGCCAGTGAGAATTTTCTTTTAAAAAGACAAAAAATATCATTGTAAACTATTCAGTTAAAAAAAGAAAGAATCTGGTCTGTGTGCTATAAGTGGGGTCTTTTTTGTAGACTTTCATAGCTTCTCGTTGTCTTAGTGCCACACGTTAAGGTTTAACTACAGAAAAGGACAAAGGAGAGCTCATGCCCCCAAATGAAATGTGATTAGGTCCCTGGACTGAGGTCCCACGGAGCCTGCTGCGTGCCTCTTTGCAAAAGCCATTTATAGGGTTAGAACCAGTAACCTAGAAGAACTTGCTTCCTTGCACAGTCCTTTCGGTTGGTCTGTTGAGCTGGTGGTGTAATGTTTTTATTTTTTCCTAAGAGAATTTTATATTCTTTGGAGATTATGCTGCTATACCTGTTTTAAGAGCAAAAGATCATTGCCAACCTCAAAAAAAAAATTAAAATTAGGTGGAATAAACGTTGGGAACTGAAGGGCTGGCTATACTTTTCTTTCTGAATTTCTTTTAAGTTCAAGTCACTTGAAGAGAAGTCACCACGGGCATACTATAGGGAGTCCCTTTGAGATGAGTGGGTGGGTGGAGTGATACTTTGGGAAAGTATATCACTGGGCTACTGCCATTTTCTTCAGACTATTTTGAGAAACTTATTATTTAAAGATTTTATTGGGGAATTGGGGGAGGGGAACAGCATTGGGGACTCTGGGAAGGGGAACAGACAAGTTGCTGTCCTTTTGTTCTTCAGTCTAGTTGTGGAGGACGTGGCTTCACTGGCCCATGTTGGTATTGTGATCATTGCACTCTTCCCGGGTGAGGCAGATCGGTCGCTGGTCATTGGACGGCCGCTCACCGCAGCTCTTAGCAACTCACGCTGGCTGCCGGCCACTCACGGTAGCCCCACTGCAGCCTATGCCGTCAACTCACTGCAGCCCAGCTCCAGGTTGAGCTGTCATTCACCATCTTAGCTGTAGAGGGCACAGCCGTCACTGGCCCTCATGTGAGACCCGAACCTGGGCCCTGCTGCTCAGAGCTGGCGTCCCAAGCCAACTCCTAACCAATGTGCCACTCGGCCGGCCCTATTTTGAGAAACTTATAACTGGACTGAGTTGTGAGAAACTTGATTTAGACATGACAATTGTATGCAGCCTAACAAAGATTTCTTAAGCATTTTAAAAGAGAAAAGTTAAATGAGATGTTACCTTTGTACACCTCCCAAAATTCTTCCTAAAATGTTCCTTTTCTGTCATTAACTATTGTTTGAGTTCTCTGGTGAATTTGCTTTTTTATACTTCCAAGTTTATGAACCAAACTAATGAGGAAAACTACCTCCAGGGCAGTGAGACTTTTCTGTTCCTTAATTGTTAGGTGTTTGGAACAAAGATGTAGAATTGGATTTTAGTGCCTTCTTGTCAAGTCCCTTTCGTTTTTAAAGCATTCACATCTTTAACTGTAGACCATCCCACTTAAAGCATCACTACCATCCATACACCTTTAGACGTAGCCTGGAGTCACCCATCTGTTCAGCTGTTTTGTTTTTTCATCATTCATAGTTTCTTTATGGATGTAAAGACTAGTTACTTTCCTCTGCCAGAGTCATCACTTCCAGAGTGTAAATTAAAATTTTTTTTTATTATGAAACTTCAGGCGTATACATGAGCATGAAGAATATAGTCTCTTTAGCGACTTTCCTGGCTGTAAGAGAACACAAGGCAGGGGACAGCTTTGGGGTGAGAGCACTAGTAGCTGTCCCTTGTCAAGAACAGCTTAGCTTAGCTTTTGTCTTATTGGGTGTGTGAGTGACTCTGGGTACTTAGGAACAAGGTACCCAGCCTTCAGTGAGTGATGGTCACTTTGTCCAGGTTGCATCTCAGTTTTGTTGGAACCTGTGTAGACAGAAACTTTAACATCTTCAGGCCAACTCTTGGCACATAGAAGTTTGGTGGTGGACGGAGGGTATTCTCCGTTCTTTCTGCTCTTTGTCCGTTTTCCTATCTGCCAGACTTTCTGTCAGCAACACAGAGCTGGGAGTCAGGAGTCACCAAGAAATAGAATGAAGCCCATTTCTGGAAAGGAGTTTCACGGAAATGAGAAGGAAAAGACCCTAATGAGCTGTTGGTCAGGTTGTTCAGTTCACTTTCCTGTGAAGAATATTGCTTTGACTTTCAGCCTTGACTGTGCAGTTTTTGTCTCAGCAGACGTGCTACTTAACGTTTATGTGGTATCAGATATACAAAATGAGCAATTTAAAAGCCAGGTCATTGAAAAATACTTTCTATCAATAACCCCTTACAGTCAAAGTCCCCCCCCCCTCCCCTCATAATAAACTTCCTTTCTCATATGGGAGACCAGTTAAACACTACCAGGCAGAAGATCACATAATGAGTGAGTTTTTAGAACTTGTTGATTCCGCTTCACTCGGCAATCTGTTTTACAACAGATGTAAAATTTAAGGACTATTTTGCAGGGGGAAAAAAAAAAAGCTTTATCTAGAGTATGTGAATTTTTATGATTACTTTTCAAAAGTTAGTTCCTCTATTATGTAAAAGAAGGAGTCAGTGTTTCTAGATTTTTGAAAAATAAGCGGGTAGTGTCTAGGATCTAATTCCATTGTGACCTTGGACAAAGTCATTTTTCTCTGATGCATGCCTTCTCATCTGCTATAAGGGGATCTGACACTGACCTAGGGCTGCTGTCCAGATTCATTAATTGATGGCTTACAAGGATCTTAAATCCCAAAGCTTATTTGTTCACTGTGAAGAAGAGTCTGGGGACTGATTTAGTGAGATGAGTTAGCGCCAAATACGCGTCCCTCATTTTCGCCTACAGTGAAGGGATGTCAAAAAAGTGAAACTTGAAAATAAAAGCCTCCCCAGCATCAAAACTAGAATATACAGGGGCCGGCCGAGTGGCGCGATGGTTAAGAACTCGCTTGGGATGCCAGAGGGCCCCGGTTCGGATCCCACATATGAGGGCCAGTGACACTGCCCTCCACAGCTAAGATGCTGAACAACAGCTCAACCTGGAGCTGGGCTGCCGTGAGTCGCCGGCGACGGCGTAGGCTGCAGCCCCTGTGGCAGTGGGTTGCCATGGGCTACCGTGTGTAGCCAGCAGCCATCGTGAGCGGCCAGCAGCCAGCGTGAGCGGCCAGCAGCCGCAGTGAGCGGCCGTCCAGAAGCCGGCGACTAATCTGCCTCGCCCGGGAAGAGCGCAATGATGGTGCCAACTTGGGCCAGTGAAGCAACGTCCTCCACAACTAGACTGAAGAACAAAAAATGACAGCAACTTGTCTGTTCCCCTTCCCCGAATTCCCCAGCACGGTTCCCATTCCCCCAATTCCTCCAATAAAAAAAAAAAATCTTAAAAAACAAACAAACAAACAAAAACACACACACACACACACACACACAAAAAAAAACCTAGAATATACAGAATGTAATTCTTCTGTTGGTTTAGGTGAAACATTTCTGTACCTGGAATTTTAAACAAATTAGCGGGATAAAACATTTTTTTCAGGTAGAGCTGTTGTTATAAATTATTTCAGAAAATTTATATGTTCACATGTGTTATGTGTATCTTGTGTAGTGTGCGTACACAGGCAGAAGTGTTTAACTTGGTGCTGAGAAGTGTTCAAGATTATTTTCATTTCCCTCAGTGGCATGGCTATGATGCCGTGGAAGTCGTGCAGTTGGGGGGCGTTATGTCTTACCTAACAGTTTAAATCATCCCAATTCTTGCCTGAGAGGAGGGTAAATAGACTGAGTTTTTAATATTCTACGATTATCTTACTTGTAAAGTGGGGGGGGGTGTGTGAAGAGGTGGCAGGGGCAGTGCTTGCCTCGACCCTCAGAACACAGCCAGATTATGTTTCCTTCTTTATTATTAGGCAAACTTTTACAAAAGGAAAGGTAATTAGAACTCCTATGTAATCATACAGACCTGGATTTGCAAATGTTTTGTTCAAGTACATCTTCTATTACTGGGCCTCATAACGTTACCTTTTAGGTGAACCCATATATGCTGTATTTCCAATAGTGTGGTTTTTTGTTTTTGTCTTGCATCAAGCAGTTTACTCAATAGTGCTTTCTAGATGTATTAAAACCCTCTCTAATGTGTGTCGACCAAGTTTTACATCTTTTACATGTCGAGTATTTTAGTTGTGAGAATGGAGCTAGGCTAAGATTTCTGTGGCCGTACGCAGATTTTTGTGCATTCCTGTGTTAATTCTTGCCATTTCACTGGCTTGACCAAATTGTAATGTTCAGAGAACTAAAGTCTAAAACCTAGTGTGTTTTGAACACGTGGTTGGAGCTTTTATTACACACATACTCCTATGAGGCATAGACATACTCCAGACTCCTGATACCAAACCATTACCATTTCACTCCAATTGCGTAACTCCAGAAGCAAAGAACAAATCCCTATCAAAGCCACATAACTGCAAGGTCTTTAAGGCAAGATCCTCCCAGTTTTCTGTGTGGCTGTACCTACTCATCACTGGGTAATATTAAGCCAGATGGTAACATCTTATCCTGGCCAGCTCTAACTTGGAGGGAAGTGATGGGCGATCAGGATCTCTTAGGAGTTGTACTCTGGTAGCTTCTTATTTGTGGGTCAAGGGGCGAGGGGATGGAGATGAGAGGGAGGTGTATAAAGAGAATTTTTGGAGTATAACGTTCATTTTGTAAGATTCCAGGTATTCCAAGCTTTTTTCTCCCAGAGAGGCTCCTATCCAACATTACGATGCACATACTAATGTTGAGAACAACCACCAGATTTTCCAGTGGGAGCCTGGCATCAGGTATTTCTGGAGAGTATGGGGTTGGGGTTTAGAAAATGGTGCTTGATGGCAGCCCCATTCTTCAGGGTTCATCAGTAACTACTCTTTTTTCACTTCTAACCTTGTGGCTTTTTCTATCTTCCACTTGTAAAGTGTATCTTTTTCTTACATAATAACTGCTCCTCAAGACTCTTCGAGGCGGACAGGATTTTAGAATTTGCTTTAGGATCCAAGATAATTTGGTTTTGAAGGTTGGTATTAGCCCTCTAGAAATGAAAACTTGAGGAGAGTAGAGATTTCATGGAAACAATACTAGAGTAGAAATCAAAACATTTGGCTTCTGGTATGTGTTCTATTTTTGTTGCTAAGGTAGGACAATTTTATAGGTAAACTGCTGAGAGGAGTTATCTAAGGTGACTTACCTAAAGTGACACAGCTTTTAAAGGACAGATTGAGGAATTCCTACCCATGGCGTTTTACTTCCAAGCACAGTGTTCTTCCTTCTGATATGCGGTGATTCCCTTCACAGACCCCAGAAGGTACCTGGCTTCTGTCATCTCCTGCACAGGCTTGTGGGGGAGGAGAGTGGTTTTCCCTCGCTTCCTTCTGGTCATCCAAACAGCTGCAGGGAAATCCATGTGGACAGTGAGGTGCACATGTAGGATATCAGCGTACCATTTTCTTTTGTCTCTTGTACTATTTGTCACGTTTATCATATTTTAAATGAGTCCTGTACACTCATTCTTTTAGTTTATCAGTATATGTGAGTCTAGTCGGTTCACACTCTGTTGGTCGGCTCATTTGCATGGAAACTCCTGGCTCATCAGTTTCACTGACCACTGGGAGCCCAGCGGTTTGGACCGCAAGTGCCTCCTCTGGTCATTCTAAAGCTCAGCTGGGTTTGAAAACTGCTGGTGTAGATTATTCCCTGATGAGGTTTAGGCAGCGGGTTAACATAAGGAATTCTCTTACCTGTTGATTTCTAATTAATAGAAATTCTCCACTCTGCTACAGGAAATTAGGGAGTGAGTCCTTTTTTCTCAGCTCTGTTAAGTGAAGAAATGAACGGGGTGATTGGGGGTTGGTTGTAGGTTCAGTTCAGAACATTTATTGGTATGTCAGTAAGTGCCAGGTATTGCATTAATATTCTAGGGTTTTAGAAATGAATTAAAGGGCCAGCCAAGTGGCGCATTGGTTAAGAGTTGGCTGGGGACTCCAGCTCTGAGCAGCAGGGCCCCGGTTCAGATCCCACATGAGGGCCGGTGACGCTGTGCCCTCTACAGCTAAGATGATGAACAACAGCTCGACCTGGAGCTGGGCTGCCGTGGGTTGCTGGTGACGGCGTAGGCTGCAGTGGAGGTGGAGCTGCAGTGGGCTGCCATAAACTACCGTGAGTGGCCGGCAGCTGGCGTGATCTGCCAAGAGCCACCGTGAGCGGCCATCCAATGGCCCAGCGACCGATCTGCCTCACCTGGGAAGAGCGCAATGATAATACCAACATGAGCCGGTGAAGCGATGTCCTCCACAACTAGACTGAAGTCAACTTGTCTGTTCCCCTTCCCCAATTCCCCAATGTTGTCCCCCTCCCACAATCCCCCAATAAAACCTTTAAAAAAAGAAAAAGAAATAAACAGCTTTGAGTTAAAAGAGCTCAGTCTACTGGTGAGAGATCTGCGGCTGGACCGTATGGTGTGCATGTGAGTGGTAGGGACTGCATGTGGGGACTGAACACATCAGGGTTGGGGTGTGGAGGTGTGTGGAGTGTGAGAGACGGGCTGCCTGGAATGCCTGGGAACACTTTGGGTTAGGGAGGAAATAGGATCAAGATAGAACCCCAGAAACACCACATGTAAGTTGGAGGCGGCCGGAAGTGTGCTGGGAAGCCAAGGAGGAAGCAGGTTTGGCGAGTGTCAGTATTTCAGACTTAACATGATTTCATGATGATGGTTTTCTTGTCTCAACTCTAGACACAGCTGCAAAACCCTTTATGGCAGACCTGAAAAAGTAGGTAATCGAAGAATTTTTTACGGTGTGTGTCCCATTGATTTCAGACAGACATTCAAATGAGCACCAGTTTTACTAGGCTGAAACTTCCTCATACTTTAATTTAGGTTAAAGTGGGTTATCTTTTAAATCAAATCGATCATTAAATGTGGCAGTAAAAGTGAAAGTAAGAAGGTAGTTGATAGAGCTGTCTCTGCACAGCATGGTCTGAGATATATCAGGATGCGTTTATTTTGAGGTCTTGGGAAATAAGACCCATTTATATTTCTCTACCATCCTAAACCGAGCATGCCTGTGTGTTAGTCCATCCTTTTCTTTCATACAGGAGACCTAGCCTTGACGCAGGTCAAAACCGCCGAGCATCGAATCGATGTGCAGGTTGCCCTTGTATAAACACGAAGGTTCTGGCAGCGGGAGAAACGGAGCAGCCTTCAGCAATCCGAGTTCAGGTTCAAGCTCAGTCTTTCCTTCAGATAAGGCTTTTAGGGGTCATACATGGTCCCAAACCATTTCTGCTTAGTTGAAATAGCTTCATTGCAGAAGGACTAATAGCTGTTAAGTATTTGCACCTAGTGAAATGTACGACTGGCTTACTAGTTAGGTTTGCTTTGTTTTTAGTACAATTGCAAATGTGTCTTTTGATGGGACATCAAGCAAGATTTTGCAGTCTTTTAATATCTTTGAGGGTCAGGCTGATTTTTTAGTGTCACTACTGTCCCTTTTATGACGTTGATTTTGAATGTCCAGGAGTGACCAGCTTCTCAAGTACTGAAGTAGACAGAGCATGTGTTTACAGATCTGATGAGGCCTTCAAGTTAGGGTGTGGGGTGTTTGATTTCCCTGTCCTCGGTGCTCAGGTAGGTTTGGGTGTTGCTGAGGGAGGTTGAGTGGGCAGAGTCCAACCTCTTTCCTAAACCCCTTTACCTGACAGACATCGTTTTTGTAATCTTTCTGAAGTATGTAATCTTTTCTTAACCTTCACAGCCTCCGTTTTCTACCAGAAATTGTCTTTTTTCCACTGGGATCCTAAGTGTAAAAGAAAACAGAAAACTACTTATTAAATGATTTCCTTGTGGGAAAAACTGGCAGTGTAGCTATTTGATCATAACATGGCTTGGTGTAGGCATATTGAAGGAATATTTGCAACAGTTAACGATTGCTTTAGGGGAGCAAACTCTGAAATTGCTTCTGGTCCCATTCAGTGACTTTATTAGTAGAGGCCAAAAGTTTTGGTTAGGTTACATGGTATCCCTCTTAGATACTTAAAAGTATCAAACCAAAAACTATCACAGTGTTTCTAAGTGAAGATTTTCATTGTTTATTTGGCTACTTAATTTGAGGATTATTTTCCTGTTTCAAAATTTTCACTTCTTAGAGGCCTTGCTAGGATCTCTTCTCTTCTTTAAATGGCACCCTACCCCCCACCATGTAAAATCCCAGCCCAGTGAGGTCAGACTTTGTCAAGGAGATCTTAGTTCTAATACAACAGTGTGCATTGCAAATAATATGTAATTCTTTTATTGGAGTAAAATTTGGCAGCAGAGAACTGAAGGACATTTACCTGTTTTCTCTCATGCCTCTCAGAAGAGGCAAAGTTTTCACTGATAGGAGTTTAATGAAGGAAAGATCTGAAACAGTTTCTTTAGTTTTTAAACATATTATACCCACTGTGTGAACTTCCTTAGTGACAGACATGTACTGTCTGTCACTTCATTTTTAGGATGCTTCGTTTTTAGGATTCATTTTATTTTTAAAAGCTTCTGGCTAAAATAAGATAAATTATGTAATACCCAGAGAGACATGCATCTACATACATACATACATACAAAGACACAGCTCATCGTAGTTCGTAAGACTTTAATATATAGACTTAATGGAATTCATTTTTATATCATTGTGTTTTGGGATTAGAAGGCATATTTGATTAATCAGGTACTGCCATTATGTATTACCCATAAGTCTTAGCTTATAAAATTTTCAGGCCATTTGGACAGTATTTGATCATTTACTTGGGTATTCTGGCATGCTGTCTTTGATAAGTTTTTGGTCTAACCTTCAACCCGGATCATTTCGTTTTAGAAAGCCTACAGCTTTGTAGTGTTAGAGCGCAGCGCTCTGGGCAGCAGAGTCTTCTGTTAGCTTGCCATAGAGTATCAAGAAGCATGTCATTTCCTCCTATTGCGCGGTATCTTGTACAGCTAAACATTGCTTTCTATATCTTTAGTCACGCAGCCCAACAAAAATCAATGACTTGCATCTCCTTGACCCAGGCTGAAGTGTAGTAGGTAGTATTTTTAAATTTATTAACAAAGTATACCCTGTCTTTAACTGTCATTTAAACATTAGCCATAGCCTGTGTCGAAGAGGCTATAGCTATGACAGCATAAACACTAGAAGACCTTATCAGTAATTGCCTTCTTAAACAGTTAATAGTGCCATTACTATTATTTTTTTCTTTTTGGTGCAGTAAATGGCTTTGTACAAATTAGTAATCTGCTTTTTCCCTTTTTAAATTATGGTAAAATGTAATGTACTTTTGAACATATTTTATCAGGCATTGTTAGTTGGCCATTTTTTACTTCAGTCTTGCTATCACTAAAACAAAGCCTTGTTTTACTTTTAAACTAAAAGCAATCAGTAATGATAAATTGCAACAATATAGATCTGAAATAAAGATACCCTCTTTCCCCCTTTCTGTTATGAATATGTCTAAAATTTACATATTTGTAATACTGTTAACATGATTGTACGTATTTAGTTTTTTTAATCATCCAGGCTTGGTCTCTTTTCATTTGGGATGCCTACATCTTTTTTCCTTTATTACAGCTGCAGAGCAGTTTCTTGTTATTTATAGATGTATCAACATTTATTTAGCTTATTTTCCACTGATAGATATTAATTAAGGTCAGACAATTCTGTAGTGAATTTTCTTGTGCCTGTATCTTGGTGTTGTGCCTGGTGATAAATATTTGTAAATTCCTACCAGAGGAATTGGCTGGGTTAGTGGGTCTTTAAAAAATATGATGCTTTCTAATTGCCCTCAGAAAAAAACGGTGTTCTAATCATCAGCATACATATCTCCTACCATATTGCAGTGCTGGTGTTATATGTATATTTTTAGTATTTGCTAATCTGGTAGGTAAAAGTAAGGGGATCTTTATATTATAGTTCTTGAATTTTGAGCGAAGCTGGACACCAAAAATTTTATGATTGGCCATTTTTTCCTTCTATTTATACAGTTTGCTCATTTCTCTGTAAATTATTAGTCTTTTTCTTATTTATTGGTATTAGCTTTCTGTAAATCTGGCATTTTAAAATGCTGTATAATATTCAGTGTTGTTATAATGCCATAATAACCATATCTACTATAATAATATATATGTAGTTTATAGAGAATTTGACGTTGGTATAGCTATTTTGTAAAAAGAGAGAGACTTCTGGCCAGAGGAATCGGTCTTTCTCTTAAGTCAATGATTCTTCAACAGAGGCCAAGGCTCAGCGATGGGAGGGGGGAATGCAGGATGTGTCACTGCTTTGGGGAAGGTTCATCATACACGTTCGGCTGTGCTGGTGGGGAAGGTTGGGAACTACAGCGCCATGCTCTGTTTTGTTTGACTGGTTAGCGATAACATGATTAGTGTAACCCAGGGTTTTAATTTTAAAGCAGTTTTAAAAACATCAGAATTACAAATTCTTCTGATAAAAGTCTTTGATTTTTCCCTAGGATTGGCAGCCACCATTTGCGTGTGACGTTGACAAGCTTCATTTTACCCCACGTATCCAGAGGCTGAATGAATTGGAGGTAATGTCCTAACTACTGTTCTGGTTGCCCGTACCCCAGAGGGGCCTTCTGTGAAGAGGAACCACCACCAGTCCAGTAGTGGGTGTTAGCGAAGCTAAGATATGGCCAATAATTGATAATCACAGTAAAGCAGATGGCAGTAAGGCCTTTGCAGCAAACCCAGTTTCTTTAAAAATGCTGATTTTTGTCACTCATTATTGGCTCATTCATTCATTCATTCAAATCCTTCCAAGTTTAGGTGACAAGCACTAGGATTTGGGTTCTAAAAGGGATGTACTGTGAGATCTGTCTAAAGGAAAAGATTCTTCAGCTCTGATTTTCTTCCAAGTATTACATATATCTTCATTTAGATTTAATAATGCTTTAGTTTCCCAAGGAGGAGTGAGGATGCAGGGCTTGTCTTTCCAGCCCCTTGCGCTGCTGCACCCCTAAAGTGCAGGGGTGAGGTTTCAGCATTGCTAGCATCGAGGTAGTTCATTTATGACAACGTTTGCTAATCTGATTTTCATATCGGACCAAGCCATATTTTGTTTTTCTATACTAAGAGATCACTCTTAAATGGAACATCTGTGGACAGTGGTAGTAGCAGCTAGTATATGTGTTTTCAAGTTGAGCTTGAAAGATAAGAGATGGCACTAACTTTAAGGTCTTGGAATGTGGTTGGGAGTGTCTGAGCATTGATCCCAGTTTTGGTCTTGTGCAGGTTAAAACTTCTAGAACTGTCCAACTAACGTTTTATAAGGAAAGGAAAAGGACAAGTTTTTAAATGACTTGTAGACAACAGTAACCACCTGGTAAAGGAGTAACATTTAAGGAAGTTTCCCTGGTTTTCTGTTAACTTTAAGTTATCAGGACATTAAAATTGATCTAGAATCCCCATCGTCAACCTGTTATTTATTTATTTATTTATTTTATTATTAGTTTCAGGTGTACAGAACAATGCAATAGTTATCCTTTTCACCCCTCAAAAGAAACAACCTCCCTCCCCTATGTCAACCTGTTTTTGGATTTGTGTTTGAGCAGATGTGAGCATCTGTGCTTTGAAAGAACCGGCCTGTCATGTACCTAGATTGTAAAAGACCAGAGGCTATACAGAAGCTTACTTGTCATAGTGTCTTAATCGGTAACAACGGTGGGCTCATAGCACTCCATAAATGCCCGTAAATGCAGCACCTGCCCGAGGGCCCGCTTACGTTGTGGGAGGGAGGGTTTGCCTGGCACATGGTAAGGGTGGGATTAAGTGGGAGTTAATGTATAATTATTTAACCAGTTTTATTTTGTATATTTTGGGCAGTTTCTCTGGAATTTAAAACTGGTATTGCACTTAAATATAAACCACATGCACAGGTAAAAGGCATGAGCTTTAAAAGAAGCTGGGTAAAATTAAACCTCTGGTCTTTGTCATTTAGGCTCAAACTCGTGTAAAATTGAATTTCCTGGACCAGATTGCAAAGTACTGGGAGTTACAGGGAAGTACTCTGAAAATCCCACATGTGGAAAGAAAGATCTTGGACTTGTTTCAGCTTAATAAGGTAAAAGGCTAATGACCATCCTCTCTCATTTAATAATTGTTCTGCATGAATATGCCATTGACTGCATGAATGTGATTCCTTGCCTTAAAAAAAAGCAAAAAACAAACCTTAATTGTTTTACATATGTAAATGAAATTCTTTATTCAGTTTAGTGATTGATTTGGCTCTACTTGTCAAGTCTGAAAGTCTTTATCTTATGACATATTTTTCTGCCGCCTGTTTTTGTTTTTTTTGTTGATGTTGGGGTTTTTTTTGGGGAGGGGGTTGTCATTTTTGAACATTGCAATAGTCCTGTAAGATACTCCTTTCTGTGTTATTGCAGATAAGACAGCTGAGGCTCAGGGAGAAAACTGACCACGCTAAAAAGGCTGTGTCACAATTCAGTACTTTATCTTAGGTTCCCTTCAGTCTAAAGCCTGTATTCTTTCCTCCAAGCACGCTGCTACCCTTTGTACTCCTTAGTTTGGGGAGATTTTTAAGGTTAACTGAGTTGGGCCCTTTTTTATTAGAGATGTGATTGTTAATCCAGTTCTTCTTCCCAGAAAATCTTGACTACTTTGGGAATCTGAGAAGCAGCTTTTGCAGGTATAATATGTTTATGGGCTGTGCTGTCAAAAGCAATGTTTTGATATTCTAGACCAGTAATAATAGTGCATATATGTTTTCTTTTGGCTTTGAAAATTTATTTTTAAAGGATTGCCTCAGCCAAGAACATTTTGTGCTTGGAGTCATACCTAGGCATGAGGGAATTAGATGTGGTTTCCATATAGGTGTTTCTAATTTTTTTTGAATTTTATTTAACAGTTAGTTGCAGAAGAAGGTGGATTTGCAGTTGTTTGCAAGGATAGAAAATGGACCAAAATTGCCACCAAGATGGGGTTTGCTCCTGGCAAAGCTGTGGGCTCCCACATCAGAGGACATTACGAGCGTATTCTCAACCCCTACAACCTGTTCCTGTCTGGAGATAGTTTGAGGGTGAGTCTTGGAGCGAGCCTTAACCTGTCCTGTTTCACTGCTTATTGACACATTGTCTTCAGGGCGCATGAGAAGGTCTTGATTATGTGTGTGGAAGATACTGTTTATAAGACTTTGTTTTGTGAATTTTTCTTCCAGTGTTTTTGTTCTGTTTTGAGAGCAACCAAACTTAGAAGTTTGTTTTTGGAATGAAGAAGGTAGGTTGTAGAGGAAATACCCTTTTGCTGTCAGAAGCTGAAATCGGTGTTAACATCACTACAGATGTTTCTTCCTTATAACTCAGAATTGATTATTATCTGTTTGTTCTGGCTTATGCTTTTGCATTCACCAAGTGTATTCCTTGTTGTCACGTGACCGTACAACATGAAATACGTGGCCTACCTGTTCTCTTTTTGCCTTGCTGAGATCTCCAAGGCGATTTTCAGATCGAATGTTGATAATTGGTAAAAGGTAGGGGATTTAATAATACAGGATAGCTAATGGATCCTTCTTGTAATAGTTCCTGTGTAGCCATGCTTGTTTTCTTACACAGATGGTATTTCCAAATTATTCAGATAAAAACTATTGTTCTAATTAAAGTAAAACAATATTATAAAAACTTAATTTTCAGGGCCCTGGTGGAAACAAAAGAATGTCATAATTCATTCATACCCTTTGAGTTAATCTTAGAGCATTGAGCCCTCTAATGTTAAGAATTTTGTTACTGTGCTGTAGAGAGGTAGGAAGATAATGCTGTATGTTCAGGAATCAATTACTAATAAAAATTGTCTTGATGCACACATACCACCGTAGTGCTTAAATGCGCCACTCTTCATAGTGTTCTTCCCTCCCTTCTTGATTCTAGGTGAGCTTTTTTTTCAGCCTAGAAGAACATGCCCAATCTAATATTGAGGAAGTTGTTTTTTGTTTTTTGGTTTTTTTAAGCTGAGCCATTGGCAGCTCAGCAGCAGCTCAGCTTGGGCCGGGAATTGAACCGGCGACCGTGTTACTCAGAGCTCGCACTCTTGAGCGAGCTCTGAACAAACTGAGCCACTCGGCCGGCCCAAGGAAGTTGTTTTTTTTTAATGTACATTATGTGAGTGTTTTGTGAACCCATGGATGAAATTGTTCAGAACATTATATGTGGAACCTTTATGCCTCTGTTTTGTAGTCAGATCTCCATACAGTAGCCCACAATAGATTTTCTCCTAATTAACCTTCTCACCTCAGTGTGGAGGTTACAGTGAACAGGGAAAAGAGTCTGCCTGCTTTTGGGATACAACCTTCTAGAAACATCTCATCTATGTACTTACAGAGGCAGTGCAGTTTCATAGTTGAAAAGCACATAAGCATTTATACAATCAGCCTGAAAGGAATCAGTATTGAAAAGATACCCTTTGTAAACATTATGTCCACAACACAGTTGACTATCTTTTGAGGGGCCTACTATGTGCCAAGTATCTTCTAGTCACTGACACATTCATTGTAGAAAGTTTAAAACAAAGTATGATGAGAAAAATCACTGCTAATGCTCTCCCCTGTTTTTTCCCCCCAAGGCTTTTTTATTGCACATGCATACAAATTGAGAGTGAGTGTATCCTTCATATACATATTGTATCTTGCTTTTTTGCCCTACCTAACACATCATAAGCATTTGCCATGTCATCAAATATTTTTGAAGATAACGTTTTTCATGACTCAGGCATTCCATTTCTATAGCCAGATCTTGATTTGATTTCTCCTATTGCTGAGTATTTAGGTTGGCTCCAATTTTTTATTATAATACTGTAGTGGGCATTCTTTGCACACACGTTTTTATGTTCATTTCTATTTTTGAAAATAATTCTTAGAAGAAAGGAGAATTGGAATACTTTTTTTTTTTAAGATTTTTATTGGGGAATTGGGGGAAGGGGAACAGACAAGTTGCTGTCCTTTTGTTCTTCAGTCTAGTTGTGGAGGACGTTGCTTCACTGGCCCAAGTTGGCACCATCATTGCGCTCTTCCCGGGCAAGGCAGGTCAGTCGCGGCTTTTGGACGACCGCTCACTGCAGCTGCTGGCCGCTCACGCTGGTTGCTGGCTACACACGGTAGCCCATGGCAACCCACTGCAGCAGTGGCTGCAGCCTACGCCATCCCCAGCGACTCAAGGCAGCCCAGCTCCAGGTTGAGCTGTTGTTCAGCATCTTAGCTGTGGAGGGCAGTGTCACTGGCCCTCATATGTGGGATCTGAACTGGGGCCCTCTGGCGTCCCAAGCCAGTTCTTAACCATCGCGCCACTCGGCCGGCCCGGAATACGTATATATTTTTTAAAAATGGAAAACAACGAGATACCGCTGTATATCTATCAGCACAGCCACAATCCAGAGCGTGGACAACACTGACGCTGGCAGCAGGTGTACTCAGTGTGGGGTGGGGGCGTGTATGGCACAGCCTCTCTGGAGGATAGTTGGCGGATTGTGGGAAAAGGAAACACTCAGCAGACGATCCAGCAGTCGCACACCTTGGCATTGACCCAGAGGAGCTAAAAACGTATGTTCACACGAAACCTACCTGCACGTGGATGTTTATAGCAGGTTTATTAGTCGTATTCACCAAAACTTGAGAGCAACCAAGATGTCCTTTGGTGGATGACAAGATAAATTCACTCAGACAATATTAGTCAGCACTAAAAAGAAATGACCTATCAAGCCATGAAAAGATATGGAGGAACTTGAAATACTCATTTATAAGTGAAAGAAGCCCATCTGAAAAGGCTTCCAACTCTCTGACATTCTGGAAAGACACAACTGAGGAGACAGTGAGAAGATGAGATCAGTGGCTGCCAGGGATTGGAGGTGGCAGGGAGGGATGAGTAGGCAGAGCACAGAGGAGGTTTAGGGCGGCGAAACCACTCTGGGTGGAACCCAACATGTCAGTACACGTTTGTCCAAACCCACAGAAGACACAACTCCAAGAGTGACCCTAATGTCAGCTGTGCACTCTGGGTGATGATGACGTGTCAGTGTAGGTTCATCAGTTGTGACAAATGCAGAAAATGAGATATTTTGATTATGGAAAGTTATTTTGGGAACTTTCAAGGGGCTTTTCTAATAATTTGGGCCTTCAATTAATTGATGCTTGCAAGTAGGGGTACATGCGGCTGGCTCGCTGGGATGAGCCCACTGGTGCCATTAACAATTAGATGGATGGAAGCAACACTATTCACTTGCTAAAAAATTTTTTTCAAGCTGCTAGATGTGTATGATTGGTAACTGCAAACTTGTCTCTGTGTTTATTTAGATTTTAACAAATTGTAGACCTGTTACGAATGTACGAACATAATTGTAAACTATGTCTTGCAAAAATCCAATGAAATTCTCTAAGATTCAAAAAGAAGGAAAAGTAACCAGTACAATTGGGTTTTTTTCCTAGTGTTTGCAGAAGCCAAACCTGGCCACAGACACAAAGGACAAGGAGTACAAGCCCCATGATATTCCCCAGAGGCAGTCTGTGCAGCCCTCGGAAACGTGTCCCCCAGCCCGACGAGCAAAACGCATGAGAGCAGAGGTGAGACCTGTTGGAACTCGCGTGCCTGACACTGGATTTCGCTTGTGCGCACGCTCTCATAGTTTCAACCCTTGTCCACCCCACAGAGGGGTGCTGTGTGTATTCTAGCTTTTACACTTGGGGGAATTGACTGTCAGAAGGGTAAGGAATCAATTTCTAGGTTTATGCTGCCTGGGCAGACAGCTGCTTACTTGTTAACAGTCAGTCTTGGGAAGAATGCATGTTCATTATGATGGTGTTTGGTTTGCCTGTTACCCTCATGAAGTTAGGCAATGTTTATTGGGGAGTAATGCTAGGAGATGTGAAGCTGGGGAGATTTTGGGTAAAAAGAACTTTTTTTTTTTAAAGAGAGATTCGAAGTTAGTGAAAGTTATTTTCTATTTTTCTAGGGCTTCCTGGAAAAAGCAGTATGGAATCTATGGCAAACACTTAGGCAAAGACAAAATAATTATGCAGCATTGGGGGAGGGGGCATAGACTATATAAAGGATAAGGTGAAATGAAGGTGAAACACGAGGCAAGATCAGGAGGCATGAGAGACTGTGAGCAAGACAGTTTGCTTTAAGGTTTTCTGCTGCGCGCTCTCCCTTGGGAAAGGGCGAAGTGTGTTTTGTCGGTTCCCTCGTTCCCACACACAGGTGTGAAGGTTGTGTGGCTTCCTGCCTCGCTCAAGCATGTGAGTGTTAGGAGTAGGTGATCCGCGATAGTAGAGTATCAGGAGCAATTTAGAGCTGGGAAGCCTTGTTGTGTTAGGTTTCTAAATCTGTCTGGTTATTTAATGATTATTGGTGAGGGTGAAGGAAATAAGCCATTTTGTTTCCTGAGGAAATGGGTAAATAAGAGAATTGTTTTCCACTTAGATAAAAAAATGTAGTAACTCCACTTTTCTGAATCAAGATCACTTCAGAATAGGAAAATAGGGTTATTTGAAGCCCATAAGCATGCTTAAAATTAAAGTTCCATTAGTCTACAAATCATCAGTTTTTGCTTGAGCACATTTGATCATAAATGTTTAAGACATGCCCAGTGCAGTGGTTGCCTAGGTCTGCCTGATGCCCCAGTGGTGGTGATATTGCCCGGGAAGAAATGCTGTTAGCAGCGCACAACCTATGTATGAATGAACATGGGAAAAGGACCAAGTTCAGATCCAAAAACACTTCAGCATTACAGACCACAAACACTGTTTTGCTTTATCAACAGTTATTAGCACTTCAAGAAATAATGGATGTATGTCAACTGTATGTGAAAAATAAATTTAAAAAAATAATGGACACAGAGAGTGGATTATATATCCATTATAACAGGATCCTGAACAGTCTTGCAATGTTAAAAGAGTGGTTTTAAAGTCACAGTTTACTTAAAAGAATTAGTAAAAAGCTGTGTGGAAGCTGAGTTTTCCATAAATGCGGGCAGACTTTGGAAGGAGCCAGCAAACTCTTCCAGGCTGACAGAATTATGTATATAACTGCCTGGACCTTGCTTTCATGGTGACTGAAGAAAGCATCAGGGGAGTAGGTGAGAATTAGGAAAAGAAGAGCTGTTCCCAGTTCGGGTAGTAACATTTCCCATAATTTGTTCTTGGTCCTTTCACCTTTCCCTATTTTTTGACCTATTGAAGTGGAGAATAGTAACTTTTTAAAAAGATTTTTATTGGGGAATTCGGGGATGGGAACAGCGCTGGGGAATTGGGGGAAGAGGAACAGACAAGTTGCTGTCCTTTTGTTCTTCAGTCTAGTTGTGGAGGACGTCGCTTCACTGGCCCATGTTGGTATTATCATTGCGCTCTTCCCGGGTGAGGCAGCCGCTTGCCGGCCATTGGACGGCTGCTCACAGTGGCTCACGCCAGCTGCCGGCCAGCCCCACTGCAGCCTGTGCCGTCACTGACGACTCATAGCAGCCCAGCTCCAGGTCGAGCTGTCGTTCACACCATCTTAGCTGTAGAGGGCTCAGGTCACTGGCCCTCATGTGGGATCCGAACCAGGGCTGTGCTGCTCAGAGCTGGCGTCCCAAGCCAACTCCTAACCAACATGCCACGCCACTTGGCCGGCCTGAGAATAGTAGCTTTTAATATTTCTTACTTCTTCCTTAAATACTAGTACTCAGAAGGGCGAGATCGCTCACCTGAGGGTAGAGAGAACTGTGTTTTGAATGCCCTATTAATAGAGACAATTTGCAGGGCTGAATTTGAGCAAATTTATTTGCTTATAAAGGAAATACTGATGTATATCACAACTTTTTTTTAAAAGGCCATGAATATTAAAATAGAACCAGAAGAGACAACAGAAGCCAGAACTCATAACCTGAGACGTCGAATGGGTTGCCCAACTCCAAAATGTGAAAATGGTAAGAAAGTTTGTCCACAACTAGGGAAGTAGTAACAAGTAGGTAAGTAAAAACAATTGTTTGTTAACTAAGAAAACATTGGAGCAACTGTTACATGCTAATCCCTGGCTTGGGACTTGAGAAATAAAATCTTAATATGTTAATGTCCTTCTCATAGTTAAAGGACCATTAGGGAGGAGCAAACAGATGAGTGTATGCGTGCATGTTAGAAATGGGATGGAGAGTCTCAGCTGTCACTAGTTGCTTCTTTGAGATATGGTTCAGTAGCATTCATTGAGAAGGAGTGACGTGAAAAGCATAGCTGCCTCTGACTGAGTGCCTGATAGATTTATTTTAGCGTGGCTGGCAGACATGCTTTCCGAATCTGACTGTTGGTTGATAATTGCCTGCCTGGCCCTTGCTTGGTGTCAGTCACTGAGAGGCAGGTTTGGGACTCTCTTGAGCGAGATCCCGCATCCTGTGTAGGCAGGCGCATGCAAATGAAGATGTTACTGACATTGGTTCTCAGTGATGGGCAAGTTGGTGGAAAGGTGGCACAATGTAATGGAAAAGAGGTGCTTTTTTTTTTTTTAATGTTTATTGGGGAAGGGAACAGTGTTGGGGAATTGGGTTGGGGAAGGGGAACATTGTGTTTTTCCAGGACCCATCAGCTCCAAGTAAAGTTGTTGTCCTTCAGTCTTAGTTGTGGAGGGCGCAAGCTCAGCTCCAAGTCAGGTCGCTGCTTTCAATCTAGTCTAGTAGGGGGTGGGCGAAGCTGTCGAACTGGAGTTCGAACTGAAGCCAGGAGTCGAACTGGCAACCTTGTTGTTAAGAGCACTTGGTCTCACCAGCTGAGCCAGCTGGCCGCCCATTGGCAGCTCATCTGCAGCTCAGCTCGCGCTCTAACCAACTGAGCCGGCCGGCCGGCCCCAGTAAGTGCATTTTTAAAAATACGGGTCAGAATCCTGGCTCAACGACTGACTAGTTAGTTGTAGGACCTTAGAGTTATTCCTTGACTTCTTTTTTTTGTTTTGTTTTAAAGATTTTTATTGGGGAATTGGGGGATGAGAATAGCGCTGGGGAATTGGGGGAAGGGGAACAGACAAGTTGCTGTCCTTTTCTTCTTCAGTCTAGTTGTGGAGGATGTTGCTTCACTGGCCCAAGTTGGCACCATCATTGCGCTCTTCCTGGGCGAGGCATATCAGTCGCCGGCTTCTGGACGGCTGCTCACGGCGGCTGCTGGTCACTCAATGCTGGCTGCTGGCTACACACGGTAGCCCATGGCAACCCACTGTCGCAGGGGCTGCAGCCTACGCTGTCGCTGGTGACTCACGGCAGCCCAGCTCCAGGTTGAGCTGTTGTTCATCATCTTAGTAGAGGGCAGTGTCACTGACCCTCATGTGGGATCTGAACCGGGGCCCTCTGGCGTCCCAAACCAGCCCCCAACCAGCGCGCCACTTGGCCGGCCCTCCTTGACTTCTTTTAACATCAGCTTTGTTACCTTTGAAAAGGATTTGTTGCAAAGGATTAAATGACTTATGGAAAGTGTTTAGCACAGTGCCTACCAGTGATAGCTCATTAACTGATAGCTGGTGTTTTACCCTAAAGCCTGTGGACGCAGGACGTTGGAGAGGGAAGTAGTCTTAGGTCTCTGAGGCCGGGTGGAGGTGCTCTGGTGAGAGGTCAGCGTCCCTCAGTCAGAACCAGGAGGAGCTTGCTCGCCTCAGTGTATGTAGTGCCCCGGTCTTACCAAGACTGTACCTTCAGCACCTGTTTGAAGAGCGTGCAAACCCGAGCAACGTCTCCCACAGTATCTGCATCTTGGGTTTTAAATGGCGGGAGAGTTTGCATTTTATCATAAAGTAATGAGCACCGAGCCCATGGACAGAGTAACACTGGGCGCTACTGCTGTTAATTGGGAAGAAACATGAAATTTTCCTGGTGTCCAGGGTGTTCTGGAGGGAGGTGAGGAGGTAGGGGAGGCAGCCAAGGGAAAGCGGAGCCAAGGAGGAGCTCACTTGGACGGCCTCTTGCAGAGAAAGAAGTGAAAAGCAGCTTCAAGCAAGAACCCATGGAGAAGGAGCACGTGATAGAAAGTGAGCGGGAGAAGGCCAGGAGTCGGCCCAAGAAAACCACCAGCGCAGTGAGTCGATGTGTTTGAGCACTTTCAACCCCAGTATATACTTTTGTGCCTCACCGAGCTCTGCTGACTTGGTGTCGGACAATGAAAAGGCCTTTCAGTTTGTAGTGCCCGTTCATACACGAGGAAATGCACGAATGTGTCCCCAAGCCCAGCGGTAGCATCTGCGGGCACTGACAGCCACTCTCTGGCGTTCAGTGAGCACTGAGGGACGTGAGCTAGGTGATGGTAGGATCGCTCAGATGTCACCTGCCCACCTCTGAGTGAGCTGAAGGCTAGATCAAAAACCAAGTTGCTGTTTCCCAACTTTATGGCAGGGAAGGAAAAGGACAGGAGTGGGGATACGAGGCGAGGACTGGGCAGAGCTGAGGTCCTGGGAGCCCTCATTCCCTCAGGAGCATCAGAGAGAGGCTCTGGGGGCTTTTCTCCTGGGCCCACTTCCAGAGCCCAGCGAGTAGCTGGACAACAGAAAAGTGCCTTCCTGCTTGGAACGTGAAATTACTGGAACTAAATGTTTTCTTCATAAATATTATCTCCCTTCCTCACCAAAATATAATCAGTAAAGTAGCACAGCCCAAGTTTTTATTTGCCCCAACAAAAAGACTTGAAAGAGTGAGATTGCTGTTTGCTTGGAATCCTTGCTTTCTGTTACCGGGTCAAGTATTAGTTTGCTGGGGCCGCCACAACAGAAACACAGACTGGCTGAAACAACAGACACCTACTTTGCCACAGTGCTGGGGGACAGAGGTCTGAGATGCAGGGGTTCTTTTTGCAGGGTTGCTGTTTCCCCTCGGCCTCACCTAAGCTTCACGTGGCTGTCCTCCCCCTGGGTCTTCACATGGTTTCTCCTCTGTAATGTCTGTGTCCTGATCTCTTCTTACAAGACCACGGGTCATACTGGGGTAGGCCCACCCACATGACCGCATTTTACCCTAATCACCTCTTTACAGACCTTTTTCCCAAATACAGTCACATGCTGAGGACTTCAGCATGTGAATTTGGGGGGAACATAGTTCAGCCCATAACAGGCAATGATGATGTATTGTTATCACTGTGTATTTGGGGAAATTCTTAACCATGACTCCTTAATTAGAATATAAAGCACTAATGTAACATGGTTAATTAACTTAAACTGTTTTCTTATTTCAACATGGAGTTTTTATAAGTTCTGTTTTGGGGTAGGCCAGTATTCATGACCTAACCCGTTATTCTACTAAGCTACTGAAAACAATATTAGGTAGCAAACTTGCGTTAGCACTCGTACGTGAGAAAGCTTGGAGACGAGGCATTTGAGGTGGGAATGCCTGAGGTGCTGGGAAATCTTGTCACCGGAGGTGAAGCGTTTCCATGCACAGTCCCCCTTACAGGGGAAGTGTTTTCGTTTGAAGCAGGGTGGCCAGGCTTGTGCCTCAGATCCAGTTCATTCTTAGAGCTTCACAGAATCAGTAGTGGGTCACGCCACTTTGTTCTGCACTCATCCAGGTGGACCTGTATGTCTGCCTCTTGTGTGGCAGTGGCAATGACGAGGACCGGCTTCTCCTGTGTGATGGGTGTGATGACAGTTACCACACCTTTTGCTTGATCCCGCCTCTCCATGATGTTCCCAAGGGAGACTGGAGGTGTCCTAAGTGTTTGGCTCAGGTAAGAATTAACGGCACAGATAGGGTTAGGAAATGTCCTTCAGAGTATTTGTTTTTCTTTGCCTTTGGGTTTTAGATGTGGCAGTTGAAAACAGTGAGGCCCCTGAAGAAAACTGGGCTGGATCTGAATAGAGGATGGCCCTGGAAGCGAGTTGGACAGCTATGCTGGGAGCTAAAAGGAAGAAAGAAACTTTTTTTTTTTAAGATTTTGGGGAACTGGGGGAGGGGAACAGCCAGGTTGTTGTCCTTCAATCTTAGTTGTGGAGGGCGCAGCAAGCTCAGCTCCAAGTCTAGTCGCGCTGCTCAGCTCAAGGTGCTGTGTTCAGTTAGTTGCAGGTGAGCGTAGCCACCATCCCATGTGGTAGTTGAACCAGCACCTCATTGTTAAGAGTGCGCACTCTCGTCTCCTGAGCCACCCGGGTAGCAGCTCAGCTCAAGGTGTGGAGTTCAGTCTTTAGTTGCGGACAGGCGTAGCCCACCATCTCGAACAGGCAGCCTTGTTGTTAGGAGCACGTGCTATCACCAGCTGAGCCATCTTGCCACCTTTTGGCAGCTCAGCTCAGGCACAGCGTCACTGGCCCATGAGGGAATTGAACCGATGAACCTGTTGCTCCGACCTCGTACTCTTAAGCAAGCTCTTAACCAACTGAGCCACTTGGCCAGCCCCCAGAAAGAAATTTTAATAACACTTAAAAATTTTTCTAATTGAAAAAGCATTGTATGCTCTTTGCAAAAATTCTTAAACACTGAACGATTTTAGAAATAGAGGTGTGAGTTCATAATCCATAGATAAGTGCTGTTAATACTTTGATGTATATTCATCCAGACTTTTTTCTATTTTAAATGAATGGGATCCTATAAGTAACTTTAATAATCTGCTTTTTTCATATGTATGTATATAAGCATATAAAAATAAAAAAATTTTTTTTCTTTTTTTGGCAGGAGTGTAGTAAGCCACAAGAAGCATTTGGCTTTGAACAAGCGGCCCGGGACTATACCCTTCGCACTTTTGGGGAAATGGCAGATGCGTTCAAATCCGATTACTTCAACATGCCAGTCCATGTGTGTACACGCGTAGTGCTTTAGGGTTTTCTTAACTGTCGGGGAAGTGTGTACCTGGAGACAAATTTGAGTTGGCGCTTCCCACCGACAATCAGCATCGTGCGCAGTGAGACCTCTAGTTTGTTTAGTGGTGTTAAAATTCCCACGGTCCTTTCAGATGCATCCCAGCCTCTCAAGTGATTTGGCTTTAGTACCCTCTGGAGAACCAGCAAAGGCACTCTAGCAGTCCTTTCCACCCAGCAAATGTAATTCAAAGAGAATGTCAGCACAAGGGTTGCTTGACCCCTGTGTGCCAGCCAGTGTGCTGGGCATTGGGAACACACTTACACACTGTTGCCTAAGTTAGCCCTGTACACGCTAGGGTGAGCTCACTTTAAATTCTCGCTGACTCACTGGGAAGCATCGCGTGTTTCATTCAGCATTGAGTATTTCGTCAAATGAGCACACCACAATTGCATGGTTTTTTACCATAATTCTGGATACTTCAGCTGTGTTTTTTCACACTGCTAACAGAGTGCTACAGCAAACACTCCGTGCTTCTTTAGTTGGATTATTTTCTTGGGATGGTTACTGAGGTGGAATGAGAGTATTTATCCATTTTTCCCCACCCTAATCTCTATATCCATTATGGGCCTAGTGGTGTTGAATGAAGCTGTTTTTCCCTAACATCACTGACATTAGCTATTAAGTTACTTCCAATGTTTGTTTATTTAATGGGTTTATAAACTCAAATTATACTCCATTTGACCTTTCAATTTTTTTGCCCCTCATGCATTATATTATTTCCCCATATGTTTGCTTAACTAATCCTGGTGACTTGCATATGACCTCTTCCATCTGTGGTTCACTTTTTATTTTACTTTAAAGACAAGGACCTTGAGGGATCCAATTCTGGACTCACATCAAACTAACCACAGAATCCAGACACTCAAATCTGGTGGCCCGCTTTGTCTCCCGGTCATCACGGTTGCCTACGTCACTCTGAGCTAGGTCTAGTGAAAAGAGTGAGAGGGTGAATGCGGGTGGAGTGTTTGGAGACATCTCAAAGAAGAAAGCATCATTCTAACAGCCCACCGGTATTGCCATACATCAGTCAGCCAAGTTGTACGTTCCATTTGTCAAAACAGAAAAACATCTTCAGTGTGCATTTTGCTTTCCTTGACTCCTTTTTATAGTGGCCAGGTTTGTGATAGAAAAATAGGAATTCTTAATCAGTTCTTATTCTTTTCGTTGTTCAATTCCTTTTAGAAAGTAGTGTTCATGTCTGCAGTTACCGGGCTCAATTGTGGAGCATCGGAGACATGGTTGTTCCTTGGGGCGCTGTCCTGTGATTTCTGTCACTTAATCTGTCCAGTCAGATTAGTCATGGGCAGTTTGTGGGTGTCGGAGAAAATTCATCTTTTTCTCTTCCTCATTCTTTTGTTTCCAGATGGTTCCCACAGAACTTGTTGAGAAAGAATTTTGGCGACTGGTAAGCACTATTGAAGAGGATGTCACAGTAGAATATGGAGCCGATATCGCCTCCAAGGAATTTGGCAGCGGTTTTCCTGTCCGAGACGGGAAGGTCAAACTTTCCCCTGAGGAAGAGGTAGGCTCTGCTGGGAGGCCCTTGGTTTGAGGGGACACCTGAGAGTCGAGCGTGTCTTTGAGCTAACAGGCATGATACTGATTGGCAGCAGCCTCACTGCCGAAATATCTGTAGCTTGGATTGTGGGTTAGTAATTCAGTTTCTGTTTGGTTGCCTTGAAGTGCTTTATGATTACTTCCAGCAGATCTTTAATTACCAGATTTTTAATGATTTCAAGAAAAGTAGAAAGAACCCACAGAAGAATTCTAGTCCCAACCGTGCCACTGCATTGTGACAACATGGGAAAATTACTTTCATGACTTGGCCTTCAGAGTCTTAACTTTGGTTTCTCCTTCTGAAGAAAATCAGAGGGATTGGAACCAGACCTGTTTATCTTTGAACTTGGATGTTTGAGCCCATGATTGCTCACACTAGCGAACTCCTAGGATGGTTTATATTCCTGTTCTAGTAGGAAGTCAGATTGGTTTTTTTGGTAAGCTTTTTGAAATCTAACCTGTACATAGAAAAGTACATGATTATATGTGTGCAGCCTGATGAATTTGCACAAACTGAACACACGTGAGTAACCAGCGCTGGAAGCGGCAGCACGGTGTTCCCACAGGTCCCCGGGAGCCCTGTCTGCTCTTCTTCACCTCCTGCCTCTTCTGAAGACAACCACCCCCCCACCCCCAGCAACACTACCCTGACGTGTGACATTGCAGATTTGTTCACCGCCTCCTGTGTGTGCTCTTCTGGGGGGGGGGGCGGGGCGTGATACAAAAACATGAGAGTCCATTTATATAAAACGTAAAAGGGCAAAAGTCCAGCATCCAAGAAGTCAGCATAGTTGCTTCTCCCTTGTACTCCTTCCTAAACCTTTTTGGTTTTTTTAGTTGGTTTGTTTCTGAGGTTTTTTTTTCTTTTTTTTAACTTTATTGGGGAACAGTGTGTTTTTCCCAGGACCCATCAGCTCCAAGTCAAGTTGTTGTCCTTCAATCTTAGTTGCAGAGGGTGCAGCTCATTGGCTTATGTGGGAATCTAACCGGCAACCCTGTTGCTCAGAGCTCGCGCTGTAACCAACTGAGCCACCCAACCTTTTTGTTTTGAAGGAAACTATTTTCATCCGTTTTTTGATACCATGAGAACTGTAAAATGGTCGCATAATATAGCCAAACTTACACTTTTTTGTCTCCTTATTTTTAGGAGTATCTTGACAGTGGCTGGAATTTGAACAACATGCCCGTGATGGAGCAGTCTGTCCTGGCCCACATCACTGCTGACATCTGTGGCATGAAGCTTCCCTGGCTGTACGTGGGCATGTGCTTCTCTTCGTTCTGCTGGCACATTGAAGACCACTGGAGCTACTCGATTAACTACCTGCACTGGTGAGAAGCTGCGGGACTGACTAGGGTGCCACTGGCTGGCAGCCTGCCGCCCAGCTGAGTCTCATTCACTCTGAGTGGGGACACGTCTCGTAATGCGTATGGAGAGCGAAGGGCTGATTTTTTTCCTTAGGGTTTTTCACTGCTGTTAGAATAGGCACCCTAAGTTAAGACGGGTTCTTGAGTATTCCTAGGGAATCTACAAAACCCCCTGAATGGCACACCCACTGTTTTCAAGTGTAACAGGTTTCTGGGGACATGGCAGAAAGCTTTGACCCAGTTGTCACAGAAGGCTTTACTCAAAGGGCACAGCCCTGAGCCTTGCTGTGGCTGTGGGAACCCCTGGGTGGCAGAGGAATGCAGTGTAGGCACCCTGGCGTCCCCCCAGGTCCCCAGGCTGCCCGCCGCTCTTGTGTTGTGCTCAGTTCTGGCGTCACCACGGTTGGGTAGGCCTCATCCTAGTGTGTGTGTGTGCAAGGTGGGGCGGCGAGCGATATTAGGATTTTTTTTGCTTTTTAAACTCTTCAGCCAAAGCCAGTTTTTCTTTCACATCTGTTTTTTGCCCCCCTCCATTTCCCTTGCTCTCTCAGTAGAAAAATATTTGAAGATCTGTAACTCACTTGAGTCCCCACACCAGGAATTTGAGGGTGTACCACAAGAAAGAGGGAGTTGGCGTGTGTGTACAGTGTGGGTTCTGCTTCCCGAGGCAATTGCTCCCAGCTGTGAAGTGAGGCTTGCGTTTACCATACCCCACAGGGCTGTTACAGATTAAGTGGTTGACAGTTTAAAGTGGTTTGAAGAATAAGAGCTCTTTAGAAATCCTAATTGCCCTAGTGTCTGATTTAAGCTCATCGGGCAGAATGAACAGGGAAGAAGGAAGATGGGGAGTTTCCATCCTCGTCAGTTGCTGTAGGAAACTGGAAACCACACAGCCTGCACCTGAACATGATACCTGAGATTCTCAGAAATCCTAGGTGTCTTCCTTTTCCAAAGGGTCAGATGAAAGGGAGGGAGAAGAGGGATCTCAGTTGGAAAGACCCCAGTTTAAACTTCATGCTGGACGGGGGTGCACTGCCCATGTGCAGGTCACATCTGACCGTGCGTCTTCAGCTGCACATTCCTGTGCGGCATCAGCTCAAAGCAGGCTCTGAAGAGGACAACCTGCCCCCCACTTGGTTTGTTGATGCTGCAGATTGATTGTGTGTGGTTTGAAGACGCTGCTGAAATTGCATGTTTACATGTTTTTTGAGATTGATTTAGATTTATTTTTACAATCTATTTCCAGGGGTGAGCCGAAAACCTGGTATGGCGTCCCAGGGTATGCTGCCGAGCAGCTGGAAAACGTCATGAAGAAGCTCGCCCCTGAGCTCTTTGTGTCCCAGCCAGACCTCCTCCACCAGCTTGTCACCATCATGAACCCCAACACCCTGATGACTCACCAAGTGCCTGTACGTCCTCAGCGCCCCTGCCACTCTGCGCCAGCCGCCACTTCTCTTTGTCCCTGGGACTCACTTTTATGAAGCTGATTTGCTTATGTGTTGTCCATTGCGTGACTTGCCGGTAGAAACCACTGCTCGGTGAACTGGGTGTTGTATCGCACTCATTTGTGGCAGCTGAGTGACCTGACTTTACAAATGACAAGTGCGATGCTTCCTTTCCTTTGACGGCAGCCCAGGTGTTTCTGGTACACTCAGGTTGTGTTGCCGTCACCACTGCATGCTCTCTCCACTGCGATGTTTGTTTACCACCTCAGTCCTGCCCTGCAGCAAAGCAAGAACCTTAGTAAATGTGTTATTTGTCAGGACAGATTACTGTGAAAATGGCTAGGTTCTGTGTAATTAGGTCTAAATGCTGAGGTCAGAACCCTTCATACTCTTTCCCTGCTTTAAAAAATAACTTATTTACTCTATGCGATCTTAGTTTTGAGTGATGACCTGAAGTGCCACGCTTGAAGGTCCTGGTTATATTACACCCCCACCCCTAATTAAGCTTATTTTAAGAAAAGATTTTCTTCAAGGTCTTGAGCTTGGAATCCAGGGTTCCCACTCTAGACTGAAAGGTCCTGATGGTGACATTTCTTCTGAGAAGTTTCTATGAAGTGACGCTTACTTGTACTCTGGCTTCCTTTGGAGAAGACTGTGAATGTTTTGAGAGTTTAGATGGAGATGAAGTTGAGGAGTCCAATTTAGCTAAATATCACCTGGAAACGATATATGTACAGTGTTAAAGTCAATTCTTGATCTTTCTGTGACCTAAATTTTATGTTTTTGGGTTCATAGGCCAGTAAATGGGGTCCGATGAAAAAGAACATTTCTTTGAGGCATCATAGCTTAGAAAATAATGACCAGTAACTACCAAACTACCATTATCTCGTTGGTATTTTCCACATTGACTCACGCCCCCCCCAAAAAAATTCCACCCACCCACGGATTGATCTTTCTGATTCATTGTGATTAGCTTATTCTAAATGAGTCCTCAATAATTGAGCAAACCATGTGGAATTATTAGATTCTGGACCTAGAGAGACAGATGAATGCACCAATACATCTGGGGACTCACACTTTAAGAGAAAAGATAGATAATAATGGAAGGGTGGAGTGGTTTGATTGTGCTTTCAAGTAGAAGGCTGACCCATTAACTCCATGGATAATCAGAAAGGGTTCAAAGTGACGTTTGAACTAAGACTTGGAGCTCTGATAAGGGATATGTTTGGCAAAGAGCTGGGGAAGGGAGACATAGTCCCTGTAGAAGAAGACATGTGCTTGTGCGTGTTGGGGGGTTGGGGGTGTTGATCAGACTTTGGCCTGTAACAACCCTGAAGGGGAGTTACGACACATGGCTGAGGGCCGCATGCCGCCAGTCCCTCCCCCCCCACCCCCCAGTTTCTTGTTCTGTGGCTTTGGATTGTACCTGAGAACTCACTTTTCTAATAAGTTCCCAGTTATTGAGAAGTACATTTTGGAGACCCATTGATGAAGAGACATCTAATATTATTATATACTAATAAGCTCCTTCTAAGGATTTGTGCGACTAGAGCAGTAAGGTGCTTTTGGGGTGAAGGTGGTGGGAAAGGGGAAATTTATGATTAGAGGTAAGTTTGGGGTCCACATCAAGAAGGGCTCTGTGTGGGGTGAGATCCTTGAAACAGCTGGAACTCTTTAATTGGTGGGAGATCCCATCTTGTTAATAACAATATAGCTTGTTCTTAGTCGTGGCTGCATTTAGGAAGATGTGTCCTGACCCTTGATGTAGCTACATTTTTGGAGCATAAGCCATGTTTTCTTTTCAGATGCTAATCAACCCTGATAGTCTGGGGCACCACTCCATTTTAGGGCAGAAGCACATATTCCCCCATCATGGTGGTTGTGGTGGTTCTGTTTTTTTCTGGCTTTTAATTGGTGGAAAGCTGCCCCTGGTGGAGAGTCATCTGACAGTCTGTCCACATTGTCTTTCATGAGAATGTCACTAAAAGTCTCCCATTCCATCTCTGTAGGTTTACCGGACTAACCAGTGTGCTGGGGAGTTTGTGATCACGTTTCCGCGAGCCTACCACAGTGGCTTCAATCAAGGCTTTAATTTTGCTGAGGCCGTTAACTTCTGCACTGTGGACTGGGTATGGGACTGTGATGGCCTTCCTGCAGACTTGTGTGCATGGCTGCTTAAACCTGTTGCTGCCCACATGGCTGGTCTGCAGGTTGTTGACCTCCGTGCACTTGGGCACTTCACCACGTTGTAAACCAGCACCCTGCTCAGTCAGCTTCGTTGATATTTTTTCCTTTCGTAGCCAGACTTGATGAAGATAATTACCGTTTTGGCTACAGCTCAGTATCTCATTGCAAACCAGTAACACACAGTTCCAGTCTTAAGAATAACTTGTACAGCACTAACTTAAGTTGTCCACAGCATAGCAGTTTTTAATGACATGTTTGGTTTCAGTTAGTTTGAGTTTTTATATTAATACTTTTTATGTACCAGAAAGAACTGTCTAGTTTGAGTATGTGATGTTAAATCTAATAGCTTAGAACCTTGTTTCAGGGTTTTTCTGAATAATAATCCACCTGTATCTTAAGTATTTTGTTTCAGTTTTTGGAGCATTATTGCATTATTGTTCCCTAAAGTAGGTGAGCCGTACCAGTTGAGCACAGTTGTTTCAGGAAATGTGTAGATTCCTTTTTTTCCATTAGATTTCTACATTGTTGTGGACAGTGCTGCATTGTTAATACTGGGTTTTTAAAACCCCTTTTGAATTAAGGCACCTAGTATGCCGGATCTTGTAGATACAAGATTAAAAAAGGCCCAAGGCCCCTTAAAGTCTGCTTTTAGAGTTGATAAATGTATGACCCGGGTGTGAGCTTTGGTAATTCGATGATAAAGGTCAGAAGCCTGGAAATGGGAAGGAGGAAGGTGGTCTCACGCGCTTCCTTCCTTCTGCTCTGACAGCTGCCGTTAGGCCGTCAGTGCGTGGAGCATTACCGCCTGCTTCACCGCTACTGTGTGTTTTCCCACGACGAGATGATTTGCAAGATGGCTTCCAAGGCTGCCGTGCTCGATGTTGTGGTGGCATCGACCGTTCAGAAGGACATGGCTGTCATGGTTGAGGATGAGAGAGCTTTAAGAGACGCTGTGCGTAAGTTGGTAGGTTTCTGGATCCCCCGTTGTGTGTCCTTGGTGCAGAGTTCCTGTGCGCTTGACCCTGTCTTGTTTCCTTTAGAATCATGCCAATAGATGTATATTAATGTCCCATTGTGATGTTTAACATTCATTTCTTTAATGGCTAATGACACATCAGATACCTCTATCTGCTACCTGTATATGGATCTCTTTTGTGAAGCGTCTGTTCAATGTTTTGCCCTGTCCCCTTTTTATTGGATTATTGTAAGATTTCGGTTTATTCTGGATATAGTCCTTTATCAGGTAGGGGTTCTGTAAATACTTTTTTCCAGTTGGTGGCTTGACTTTTCATGCTCTTAGCAGTGTCTTTCAAATAACAGAAGTTTTTCATTTTAATGAGGTCCAATTTATCAGCTTTTTATTTTATGGATCTTTTTGGGTTTGTACTTCTTAAGAAATCTCTGCCTAACCTAAAGTCACAAACATTTTCTCCTATGTAGTCCTCTAGAATTTCTAGTTTTAGGTTTTGCCTTTAGGTCTTTACTCCATCTCAAGTAATTTTTGTTAAGATGTGAGTCAAGAGCACCATCTTTGCATATGGATGTCTAATTGTTCCAGCACCATTTCTTGAAAATACTACCCTTTTCCCTCTGAACTGCCCTGGCACCTTTGTTGAAAATCAGTTCACATATGTCTGGGTCTGTTCCTGGACTTGGTCCTAGTCTGCCAATCCACATTTGTCCTCTCGCTAATTCCATATGGTCTTGATTACAGTGAAACTTGCTAATAAGTCTTGAAACGAGGTGGTGTGAGTCTTCCAACTTTTGTTCTTTTTCAAAATTGTTTTGGCTATTTTAGCTCCATTCCTTTTCCATATACATTTTAGAATCAACTTACTGATTTCTGCCAAAAAGCCTGTTGGATTTTGGTTGGGGCTGTATTAAATGTATAAGTATGGATAGTTTAGGAAAGGATGGCTGCCGTAACACTATTGATTCTTCTAATCCATGGACATAGTATTTTCCCCATATATGTAGGTCTTCTTGATTTCTTTCATTCAGTATCTAGTAGATAGCAGCATGCAGATCTTAAACATATTTTCTTGGCTTTATAATTACGTATTTCATGGTTTTTGGTACTGCATGCCTCTTCAGATAGAATCCTAGAATGTCGGTTCCTTGGACCAGTATTAGATCAACAACAGTTTACTCACTTTTGTACAGTTTGGGAAAGTAATGCCCAGAAAGTTTAAGTGCCTTACCAAGGTCTTACTCAATAATGGTAACTCACTGTGGGGAGTTTGAGAACTTAAATTTTTTTTTTAAAGATTTCTTTGGGGAATTGGGGAAGGGGAACAGCGCTGGGGAATTGGGGGAAGGGGAACAGACAAGTTGCTGTCCTTTTGTTCTTCAGTCTAGTTGTGGAGGATGTTACTTCACTGGCTCATGTTGGCACCATCATTGCGCTCTTCCCGGGTGAGGCAGATCACTTGCGGGCCTCTGGACGGCCGCTCATGGCGACTGTTGGCAGCTCACACCAGCTGCTGGCCGCTCACGCTGGCTGTTGGCCACACACGGTAACTTATGGCAGCCCACTGCAGCAGGGGCTGCAGCCTACGCCGTCACCGGCGACTCATAGCAGCCCAGCTCCAGGTCGAGCTGTTGTTCACCATCTTAGCTGTAGAGGGCGAGCGTCACTGGCCTTCATGTGGGATCCGAACCGGGGCCCTGCTGCTCAGAGCTGGCGTCCCAAGCCAGCTGTTAACCAATGCGCCACTCAGCCAGCCCAAACACTTAAAATTTTTTACAGATTAAAATTGGTTGAACTATATGATTCATTCTCAACTATAAAATCTATGGCGTGGATCTTTAATCTCATTTTAAACAAACATCTTAACCATCTCTATTGTGGAGTCCTATGATCAATTCCAGAGTAAAACCAAACTTCATTAGTTAGCCTTTTCCTTGCTCTTCCTCTGTCTTTGTTGGTCCATTTGTTGGTAAACATGACGTGAAATGGTCAAAAGTTAAAATACAGAATAAAAGACGAAAACACAGGAACTTGATGGCTCATAAGCTGACTTCATCATTCTCAAGGTCGGGTTTGAATCCAGTTCCCGATAACGAGAAAAGTGGTAGAAGTTTGATCTTTCAATGACAAAAGCTGTATTCTAGGAGGGCTCTCTAGTGTCAGGTGGCACAAACTACAGTTGAAATTTACTCATTTTTCTTGACACTCTGAATTAGGAAATGCTTTATTAATGACTATGGTCTCTACCTCTATTGCACAAATTGTCAAACCGTTTCAGATAATGATATCCTTTCTGGTAACGTTTTGTTACCAGGCTCTTAGACCACTTGGCATCTTCCCATCTTGAGCAGGTCCTGCGTGATAGTCGCTCCACTTGGCCCGTTTTCTTTCTTTTCCCTTATGTTTGTTCTTGTGGATCCTCCAGTGGTCTTATTCTGAAGTGCTCTGTAGTTTTTACTCTGAAGGAGAAAGTGTATACATTTCCTTTGCTCTTACCTATATCCAAGTCATGGACAAGATCCAATTTGGAGTAGAGTGAGCAGGATTCTTAGCAGTTTTATAGTCCTATTAATCACTGTTTTCATAAAGGACCTACCTTGTCCAAAAACAGGTCCTCCCCAGACAAGTGGAGTAGGCCGGCTTTCCAATTTTTGCTGGTCATTGTTACTTCTTTCACCCCCCCTCCCCACACACACACAGTTTTAACCCTGTACCTTCTATTTTGGTAAGGCTTTTTTTTTTTTTTTAAACTATTGCATGTTTGTCTTGAGGGCTGGTGGATTATATTCTCCTTGGGAGGCCTCTGAAGGACACTTTATTCTAGGGAGTAATTGACTCGGAAAGGATGGATTTTGAGCTGTTGCCAGATGACGAGCGTCAGTGTATAAAATGCAAAACCACGTGCTTCATGTCTGCCATCTCCTGCTCTTGTAAACCTGGCCTGCTTGTTTGCCTGCATCATGTGAAGGAGCTGTGTTCCTGTCCTCCTTACAAGTACAAACTGCGGTGAGTAGGAAGCATGGCGTTTTTCCCTGTGGAAAACACTAAATCCGTAATAAAAGCTCAGTGGCATCTTTGTTTCGGGGCAGAATTATGGATTGTAAAACATCTGATATTCTCCAAACCCACACGTCTCGACGTAAGTCTGCCCTCCTGTCTCCAGGTATAGGTACACTCTGGATGACCTCCACCCCATGATGAACGCACTGAAGCTTCGGGCAGAATCCTACAATGAGTGGGCCTTGAATGTGAACGAGGCTTTGGAGGCAAAGATCAACAAGAAGAAAAGTATGTGGTGTAGAAAGTAGGACTGGTGCATGGCAAGTGGGGGCTGCCTGTAACGAAGCCAGATTAGCCAGCCACACACAGATGGCTTGGAACAGCCCGGCGTGTCCCCGGTTAGCCCTCTGTGCAGCCAGGCTTCCAGAACTCTAGCCGAGAAGGTTTCAAGACGGGAGTGGGCGGTCTCTTATAGAGTGACACAGGACTTGTGCAAGGTCAGGAAGCAGAATAACCGTTACACCTCTTTGTCTCCAAGACAGAAGCATTTCATATTTTATAGGGAACCTTCGAAAAACATTTTTTAAAATCAGATCTCGTGACAAAGGCAGCATGCCACTAAATTAGGAGTCTCTGAAGTACTGCTTTATCGCTTCCTATTCTAATCAAAGCCTCTCTTATTACTGCCTTTGAAAGCCACTGCTTCCCTTTCATCACTTGCTTTCTTTTCTGTAGTCTGACAGGGAGCTCTGCCCTCTTGTGTTTAGGGGAAGGGCGCAGGTTCACTGCCTGAGCACACTGGTTACCTGCCAACTGCAGGGTAAATGCAGGGGAGGAAGTGGTTTGAGCACAGGGAGAAGCTGCACTTGCTTCTTTTGACAAGCCAGTTGTTTTCTGTATCATAATCATTTCCATATTGAAGAGCAACTCTAGGCACTTGTTTCAAAACACTCTGCCCTCAGCCCCCGCCCCAATTAAATGAACAGATGTATTAACAACACGTAAAGCATTGCAAGTATTGTAGATCAGAACTGGTAAAAGCGGCTCCCCTGTGCGTCTGCACCAGTCAGAGTAAACGTGACGGTCACAGGAAGAACGACCTCCTCTTTGTTCCTAGGCCTTGTCAGCTTGAAAGCTTTAATTGAAGAATCTGAAATGAAGAAATTCCCGGACAATGATCTCTTGCGTCACCTTCGCTTAGTCACACAGGACGCGGAGAAGTGTGCCTCCGTTGCACAGCAGTTGCTCAATGGCAAAAGGCAGACCAGGTGTGTATTCTGACCGAGAGGAGGGCTCTTTGCTGGCTGTTTTTCCCTTCTGAACCTGGGAGTGTTGGGTCTGGATGTTGTCATGGCGGCCTGGCCTTTGTCTTGACAGATACCGATCTGGTGGAGGGAAATCCCAGAATCAGCTGACGGTGAATGAGCTGCGACAGTTTGTGACGCAGCTGTATGCTCTTCCCTGTGTCCTCAGCCAGACACCGTTGCTAAAGGTAAGCCGCACATGTGAGAGGACTTGGGGACCTGTGTTGTGTAAACACCATTAAGTTGTCTTCTTGAATAGTTAATTTGTACATTTACTTGCAGATGTTTTTAATAACACATTGAGTGAGTGTGTGTGAGTGTGTGTGTGTGTGTAGAGATGACAGGCCTATGAAGGAAGAAGTGGTAAAGGTGGGAATTTGTACCTTGCAGGTAGGTGACCACCAGCTCCTCGGAGACAGTGTATGGTCTTGTTCTGTGGCTTGTTTTAGCTGTCATTTGGCTTATGTATGATTATTTACCCATATTATTGCTGAAATCAAGCAAGAGGGAAGAGAGGCTCACGTCGAATGTGCATTGAGGAGTCTTAAGTATGAAAGAAGCCAGGTATTGAAATTACTTTTCTGATGCAACAACCTGTGACTTTTTAGGATCTCTTGAATCGTGTAGAAGATTTCCAACAGCACAGCCAGAAATTGCTCTCTGAGGAGATGCCCAGTGCTGCCGAGCTGCAAAGCTTGCTGGATGTCAGCTTTGAATTTGATGTTGAACTTCCCCAGCTTGCTGAGATGCGCATCCGTGTGGAGCAGGCTCGCTGGCTAGAAGAGGTGCAGCAAGCTTGCCTAGACCCCAGCTCCCTTACGTTAGATGATATGAGACGTCTCATAGACCTCGGGGTGGGCCTGGCCCCATATTCAGCTGTGGAGAAAGCTATGGCCCGGCTTCAGGAGCTGCTCACAGTGTCAGAGCACTGGGATGACAAAGCCAAGAGTCTCCTCCGAGCCAGGTAAGAAAGCAAGCTGGCATTCACTCTCCCTTGGGGAGGATGGGTGGCACTTCCATCTTAGCGCGCGGAGCCAAGTGACGGGCACGTGACCGACTGGTGCTCAGTGGCTGCAATCGTGCGTGTATGGGAAAAAGCTGAGGTATTCAGGGCTGCTTGGAACTGGGCAAAAAAAAAAAAAATCTTCACTGATTATGACATGAGTGGCTCAAATGGACATATTTTTTCTAGAGTTTTTTCTGGATGAGAGAAGAAAAAATTTACACATAAGTGGAACTGTTTGGACCAACATTTGTGAATGAGACCCCAAGGAGCTTTACAGGGAACTGTCTGAGCTAATACTCTTGGTTCTGTAAATGAAGGAACATGGCTGCACACCTGTGCTGCTGCTTGGGGACTAAGGACACCTTGTCTGTACTGCGAGATGGCACTGGACTCAGGCTGACCGTTTGATGGGGAGATCAGCTCGCTGTAATCTTGCTGTCTGTCTGACAGATCTGTATTGGGTCCAGCTGACAACATAGTATAAAAAACTAAGTTGTAGACATTCTGTGTAATCTGCAGTTGTGGTCATTGAGCAGAGTACAAAAATTTTTCATACTGTGCTTTTGGTATATTGCTATCCTAGAGAATTTTAATTTTCTTAGTGAAACCGTATGAGTGTTGACAATGTGTCTAGTGTAACGCAGAGTAAATTATCACTAAGTAAACTGCAAATGGAAGTTTGGTTACACCAGCATCAAATGAGGAATAAGAATTTAACACGCTTCACACAATCAGTTGCTTTGTCTTAGATGCTCTGAAGTCTTATGCAGCCATTTGAAACAAGTTACTGTGATACCTAGTGGTCACTGCCATTTAAAAAAATTGCTTGCTGTACTGAATTTCCTTTGAAATGACTTTTCTAGTTTGGTAAACCACAAGAAAAACCATTCATCATACGACACGCTGAGTAGTTTCTATGCTCCTTTTTGCAGACCGCGGCACTCGCTCAGCAGCCTTGCCACGGCTGTGAAGGAGATCGAGGAGATCCCTGCGTACCTGCCCAGCGGGGCGGCTCTGAGAGACTCTGTCCAGAGGGCCAGGGACTGGCTTCAGGACGTGGAGGCCCTGCAGGTGGGTGTCAGGAAGCAGACGCCTGGGTGGAGAGTGTCTGTAAGGAGCCGGAGTTGGACAGTGGAAGGCTGTACGTTGGGTCTCCCTGCACAGATTGACAACTTCCGGGGGCCCACGTTACTCCTTCTATCCTGGCTGCCTGCACTTGGATGTCCTTGCCCACCTGTTGTCCTGAGTAGTCGATGCAGACACCGAAAGCCGCCCACTGCGGACGGGTTCCTGGTTGGGGGTCGAAGAGAACGTGCTGAAAGTGAAGTTGGGAGAGACATGTCATTTCTTGTCTTTGATAAGTGTGGTTCTCTTGGCTTGGCTTCCCAGCAGCTCAAGAGTTCAGGCAGTCATGGGTGGCAGATTCAGCAACTGCAATTACTTGATTACACGGCTTACTTAGGTCTCAGGGCCCAGAAACTTCAAGGCGTGACTTAAACAGAGGTGCCTCCTCACCCTCACAAGGCAGTGGGACGCAGCAAGTCCCAGGGCAGGGAGCACTCAGAACCCGTGGCCGTGTGCGCGATGCTACTTTGCTGACTTGGTTTGCAAGTTAAATAAAAGAATCGAATTCACTCGTAGCGTTATGAAGGTACAGACAGTGCCTTCTATGATTTGCCCAGTTTTTAGCTGGATAACTTTATTTGAAAAGTGGCTGATGGGGGTGGGGGAGCCAGTCTTTATCTTTAATCATCGTAAACCAATAGGTCTTATGGACCTCCTGAGTAAAAAGATATTTGAATTATTTAATGGGTTATGTTTAAAAATTTTTAAATTTATATCGTCTTTGAGTCTTAAGTTCTGTTTTGTTGAAGCCATCAGATTCTCAGAATGAAATATTCCTTGTCTTGTAAATGTTTGTGTGTCATTTTAAGAAGCACTAATTAACCAATTGCTAACAAATGCCAAACAGAAAGGCTTTAGCCAGATGTTTGCAACAAAACATCTGGGCTTCTATCCTGGTTAATGTGGAAGAGAAGACATGTTGTTTGATAAGTATCAGCACATAATTAAGGCGTGACCGCAGCTAGCCAGAGAACACCAAGGAAGGATTTACTGTGTGTGTCAGCTTCCTTAGTGGGAGTCTCAGGTGCAGGCTCTTGTCCGTGCCTTTGGGGACCGCAGTAATTAGTTTAAATCATGGCCCCCCTTTCCCTTCATGATGGTAGAAAGGGTGAGCTCATTGCAGTCAGAGGGGTGAGCATGTGAGTCAGGAAGACGGCATGTTTCTTGGGTGCACAGCGCTTAGCACTGTGCCTGTGGCAGGGCCTGCGAGGACCACGGGCACCCCCACACCCCAAGGCTCTTATTTTCCCAGTTTAGGTATTTCATTCTCAAAATGTGGTTCCAGTGTCAGCAGCACCAGCACCACCTGGAAATGTGTTAGAAATACAAATTCATGGGCCCTTCCCTGGTGACTTGAACCAGAACATCTGGGGATGGGGCCTAGGAAACTGTTTAAACAAGCTTTCCTGATGATTCTGAACAATTGTTCAAGTTTGAGAACCCATGGGCTTTCTTAGCTCATCTTACTGTCATGAATGATTTACACTGAGTTCCTTCAGTTCATCGTTGGTGAGTAGATTGGAGTAAAATATTGTTTTGTTGCTTATATTTAAGTAAGTCAGTAGGAAAGCCTTTTGAGTTATTACTAATCTACATTTATGATCTTTTTTTTTTTTCCAAACTGTCCATGAGGAACAGTGTGACAAGTGACTTTAGGACAAAGTCTAAACAAAGGAACCACAGTGTGTTGTGTTCATAGTTATTTCCTTGGGGCCCAGCACAGACTAGGTTCTTTAATTATTTGTTGAGTGAAAGAACACATCAGCCCCCACCCGCCCCCCTCAGGCCTCCCCCAGGCCCCCTGTTAGTCAGCTGGCGGGCTTTGTCCATAGCCGTCTGAATTTAACATGTTGAAGTCGTGGAGTAGGCACAGCCTGAATTAGGCTCTCCTCGCTGTACACAGAAATGTCCTTTTTTTCTAAGTTGCTACACTTTTTCTTGATTTATTAGGTTGGAGGACGTGTGCCAGTGTTAGACGCACTTGTAGAACTCGTTACGCGAGGCCGCTGTATCCCGGTACATCTGAATTCTTTACCAAGACTGGAATCACTAGTAGCTGAGGTTCAGGCTTGGAAAGAGTGTGCTGCCAATACGTTCCTGATTGAGAATTCTCCCTGCTCTCTCTTGGAGGTAAGTTTCATCTGTCCCGTCCCAAACCCTAGATCAACCCGCTCGGTAAAACACACAGTCCTTGCCTCCCGGGTGGCGTCACTGACTGATCTGTGTTCACGAGTCACTGTTTTCAGTAGAGCCAGAGAGATGCTTCTAAGCTTCTGGTGATGTTTTCCAGACACACCGCAGATAGGATAGCGTTCAGTGTCTGAGGAAGGACTTTCTGTCATGGGGTTCATTACTCAGTCCGTGTTGAGATTGGACTTTGAACCTTGGCCATGCTTCACCAGTTGATCTCCACTTCTCATAAAGTGTGGTGGTTGCTTTCTTGTGTGTGTTTTATAAGCTGGTACTGGTCATGTATTGCAACTGGAATCAGTGTAAATCACATTTTTACTTACTGTTGGATTGAATCTGGACTCAAAGTCACTCTTTTGTGAGGTTTCCTTCTTCCCCTTTCCTTTTCTTCCTTCCTTTGCAGAGGAGTCTTCTGGCTTCAGGGCTGCATGTTACAAAGAAATGTTAGACACTGAGGAATTCTCTCCATGCTCGGGGCTGACGGGGGCTTCCTGGGCTGTAGCTGAAGTCTGTGTCACCAGTGCTTGTGCCATGTCCCACATTAGGTGCTGTGTCCTCGGTGTGATATCGGCCTTTGGGGATCGAAGAGGAAGCAGAGAAAGTTAAAGGAGCCCTTGCCAAGTGGAAAGAAGAGAAGCAGCAGCCTGGAGAGTCTGAGTGACCTGGAGAGGGCCTTAGCCGAGAGCAAGGAGACGGCCGCCGCTGTGCGTATGGGCCTCGCTTCTCCGTTGTGTTGCTTGGGGAGGATAGTTTCTAACTTCCCTTGTTTACAGGAATTTTGGGAGGGCAAGTAGAAGAAGATTTTTTTTTTTT